CTTTTAAAGACAAATAAAAGAAAAAGATATCTCGATTCAGAAACATCAACTTTTCCATTTTTGTGCCCAAGACACATGGGGGCGGCCACAGAAAGCTCCCTCCACTTTTCTCTGTCTCCTGCAAATTTTTCTGGCAGTCCCCCATGCTGCCTGTGCCAGTTGCTTCTGTGCTGTGCACCTCCATGTCTTCCACTGCCTTCCCTGCTTTCTTTTTTAGAATACTGACATCATATTTATACAAACAGATAACTAATGGCTCACCATTAAAGCTTCACCAACAAAAGGAACAAGTTTATTCTCCAGGCCATCTGGCAAGTTGGGCTCAAGAATCTGAAAATAAATTACGTGAACTGCAATCTAAATCAATTTTTGGTTGGTGACTTCAGTCATATTTCATGACTTATATTAATTTGCAGGCAGCTTCAAACTCCATGACTTAGATCACAAACATATTTCTGTTACATGGCAAGTTAAAAATAGCATATCTTACTCACCTCCTCAAAAGTTGTATACAAGGTAGTTGCCTGTTGACATGGAAGAACAATGTCAAGGTAAAATTAACAAAATTGTGTTTAAAAAGTATACATTATATTTCAAAGATAAAATTTTTAGCACATTTTTAAAATAAAATATAAAAATTAAGTTTATATAACATGATTTAATTTTTTTTTAAATATTTGAAACAAATAAATGAAATTGCGTAAATGGTATTGTGAGACACATACCTCTGCCGTAATGAGCCGTTCTGGACAGTTGTTAATAACAACGAACAGGCGACGTAACGTATGTTCCAGTAATGGAAACAGCTGAACAGCGCACCAGCCAAACCTAATGATATAGTAAAATACAAGACAACTTTTGGAAGATAATAAAAGACTGTAGTAGAATAATTATTAAAAAATAAATAAACCTTATCCAAGTAAACACTTTTTCTATGTTCTAAATTTTGTGTTGGAAGAGATTCCCTCCAAAACAATTAAGTATTACGAGTCAACACTAATTAATTAATGACAAAAATAGTTCACTGCACTTACTTTGCTTGTCTGTATAGGCTGAAGCTGGATTTGAACAGGTTTCTGTTTGTGTCTGCTACAAGCCAACTACCCAACACCAGCTGCTCACAGGTTGATACATGATCTTCAGTCATTTCTGTTCAAACATAAGGTACAAATACGATTTTTAGTCATTTGATTCTTCAGGAGTTGTCTCCCTTATTCATTTAATTTAATTCATGTTGTTTACTTATGGGATAGTAAGGTTGGACAGTAACTTGAAACTACCGAGTTTGGATCCAAGACTCATCCGTAAGATATTCTCTGAGTCCACCCAGCACTAACATGTACCTGGCTCATGTTGGGGTAAGTAAGGCAGCTGGGCATTGAATGAGCACACTATCATGTTATGTACTGAGACCATAGAAACAGATTACCTCTACTTCCTCTGCCCAATTGACTGCCAGGTACAAAAGAGTGACAATGTTGCCTACTCATCATCATCTTTTCTCATTAGTGCCCAAGTAGAGTTCATCTGTTTTAACGACCACAGCATACAAGGGGTAGACTCTCGGACATTGTAATGTTCTGAACCCAGATTCAAACGCGAGACTTTCGGGTTTGCAGTTCAGCTCTTAACCGCTGGGCCACGCTATCTACTAAATGTGTGTTATTTCATTCACATGGTACATCTTAATTTAGAACCTTTGAATAACTAAATGTAACATAACAGTGACTAAAAGTTACCAAATGGTAAGCAAATCAAAAGCTATTAATTATCTATTAAGTTCGTTCTTAGTTTAATAGATAATGGAACGACCTGGCATGTGCTTCAGCATGTGATCACTTTTTGAAAGTGTGACATATTCTCTTGCACATATTCTGGTCATCCCTCCCTCTTTCAGCATCTTCCCAACACTGGCAGAGAGCAGCAGTAAAAAATAGATGTACCTGTACAATTAAAAACAGGGAGTAGACAAATTGTATTTCTTTTCATATAAAATCCATCTGAAAAGAAAGCTTAGAAACATTAGCAGATGGTGAAATTACTTTAAAGAAAATATAAAAATAAACATTGATCTGAGTTAACAAATATTTTAAAAATAGAAAAATATAAAATAACATTGGCCTGAAACAAATTTAAAAAAAATAGTTTTGGAATACCTTCTGGGCAGCTCATTATCAGAAAGGAATCCATGCCATGCTATATTTCTAAGGTTCATTGACACTGGTGGTCCAAGTAAAACATGGAGTACAACAATCTACAAAACAAAATATAACCTTTAAGTCTACTTTAACTAAAAATTATCACAAACAGTTTTAATAATACTATTTCAGAAAATACTTTTAAGTGATTGAATGGTTTTTTAATTCAATTTTTTTTATCTCATTTTAAACACAAAAGTATATCATGTTTTCAAAAGTCATAATTTTATTAAAATCATTGTGCTTATTTTAATTTTAAAAATGACTTTGACTTACAATAGGGAGTCCAAGAATATCTTGTAGTTCTTTTGTTACCAACAAGTCTTTAAGTAAAGCTGGACACTGGCTGCCTTTCATCAAATATAACTAATGAGAGATTAGATAGAGATGTGAATTTTGAAATATGAGCATAAAACCTTTTTTTTTCATTTTATTTATTCATAATTTAATTATAAAGTCAACTGTGGTGCCCAAATGAACCCAATAGGGGTAAAGAGATGTTGATGATGATGATGATAATGAACTATTTAACTCACATTTCCAAGAGCTCTCTCTAAACCTCCTGACATAAGTAGTAGAGCTAGAATATCATAGGCTCCACTTTTGTGAGATAACAGCTCAAAGCAGTCTATAAACAACTGAAACATTAAAGTACGTTTCTTTAAATCTGATTAGCAGAGATACCATTTTTAAAATCACAAGTTTAAAATTAAAATAATCTTAAAATGTCTTTTATATTAATTTAAATATTTGTAAGTCATCCATTAAAAATTTCTTAAAGCACAGTGAGAAATTAAGCTATAATTTTTTTTAAAGTTATATTTCTTATAAGCTTAAATTAAAAACATTTTTTTTCCATACTTACATCACTGTTAGCTGTCCACTGAAAAAATTCACCATAAGCTGTCAAAAATTCTGCTTGAGACAAACCAGACACCAGCTCTTCAGAAAATTTGAAAATATGTGCCATATTCCTGACCAAGTCCTCATAGCAGAGATCAATCTCTTGCACACCCATGCCTAAGAAAAAACCCAATGCAATCACAAAAAGAGAAAAACTAGCCTAATCATAAGGTAATATGAATATATATTATGTACACCTAAGCATTTTAACACAAAGCCTAGCCCCATAGAAAGTTATATAAAAGGTTCGTTCACTAGGCCTAGAATGGCCTAAATCATAATTATATTGAATCTAGATCGACATGTCTATCCCAAATCTCTAACTCATAACACTGGATTAAAAAATTTAATAGATCTAGAATCTAGATCTATTTTTATGAATTTACTCAGCATAACTCTAACTCAGGACTGAGAAGTGGGAAGACTTGCCAGTTGTGGTACCATGTCCACTGATGTTAATTATTCCATTCTGATCAAAAGTCATTAAGACAAAATAGTTTTCTTTTAAACAACATTTCTGTGTGACCAATGGCACTGTGAAATGCAAAGAACTCGACAAATCGTCTGCCACTGCTGTCGGGCTTGTCTCTCCAGCCGGCTCAGAATGGACACCGACACCGACTTCACACAGAAGTTGCTGGATTCTAGGACTCAAAGCAGTCGAATATTTCGGCGAAAGGAGTAGATCTAGATTCAAATCCATCTCATTACTCGTTCTTCATTTCTTTTCTATTTATTTAACAAATACTAATACTAATAGTGAAAATGAAAGTGGAACAGAGGGTGTCAACACTGTCATCACTAAGATCGTACAATGTAAACAGTTGGCTTTTTTATTTTCGACATAAAAGAGCTCTGTGGAAAAAAAAGGGATCATCCATTTATGAAGTCCATAAATATACATTCTGAATCAGATCTGTGCAGTATGTGTGCCATGCAATTTTAATAACTTATGGCTTATATATCTAGTATGGCATTTTATAATTAACACAACTACTAGATTTAGTATTATTACAAACTGAAAATAAAATTAAAACAAGACTGAAGTGAAAAATACATACGGCTCAAAGCATAAATCTGACGTGTTTTTATAATAATTTATATTTTAAAGATTCTTTTGTATAAAAAGAAAAGAAGAAAATTGTTTGTACTTGTAGTGTAGGCCTACTGCAGAATCAAAATAAGTCATTAGTCTACATCGGGTTCATACCTTTTTTTTCACTGCAGAGGTCCAAATTTTTAAAAATAAATCTCATTACTTGATGAGATCTAAACATAGGCAGTTGTTCAAATGTATGTAGGATAGTGATTATAAATTTAATAGTGGATGTCCATATGAACCTGACCCCGCCCCCCCCCCCCTCCAACACTAGAGAAAGTTTTGTTTTTAAATGTACTTAAGCCTAGTAGATCTATATGTTGAGTTACATAAATATAGTAAACAGTTAAACATGAACAAGATAAAAATGATTTCAAAACACAAGCTCCTTCTTTTAGCAATGTTTTATTCTATACTTCATCATTACATATATTAAAAAATACAATGGCAGTTTTTGTATGAACACAATATGTGTTTGAAAATACCAGTCACTTGTTTATAATCTATGAATAAAATGATAGTTTTTAAAATACCCACAAATAAAACAAAGCATCTATTGTTCAACAGTGTGCAGCAAAACAGATGCACTAGTGCACTTTTGAAATTAAAATGGAATATTATCAGGTTATATTCCAATTACTATTTTACAAACATGGAATAACTGTTGTAGAAGTGTATTCAATGCTGGTTATTTTTAGGGCAACTATGATGTTCATTACCATTCTATTGATAAACTAACATGTTATAGTCAATATTTCTTTTCTGTTTAACTTGCCTACACTAAAAAGTAAATTGTATTTTTTATCAAAATTTAACAAAGTAAAAACTCATTCGATGGATTTTTTATTTTGTTTTTATTTATGACAGCCACACTATTAAACAACACATATTTTTCAATGGCACAATGATTTTCTCAACATAAAAGAAATGGTATATGCAGCTATGTTCTGCGACTTCTACAATGATGGAAACATAACATTTTACGTGAAATTTTTTATATTACACAGGTTTTATTCAATGACAGATGAATGACAAAGAAAATTGACAAGCAATCTATTTTTGTCCATGTTTTTTTGAAAGCTGAAATTTAGTCTCTGTACAGATTTCATAAATATACCCAATTGACATTCTTCTTTGCGTAGGCTTTTTAAATGTCATACATGTATACTGTCACATAAAATTATATCACAGTTCGTATGGAAGCAGCTTTACAACAGCAGGTTTACCAGGAAACAAGAATTGTGTCCCCGGCTTCAATAGAAAAGAACCCCAACTGTCTCATATCATTGTCCAAATCAATCTGTGGTCCATTGCTCTTCTGAAACAGATTTACAATACACTATTGATACAAAAAATGTTAGCTCATATAAAAAAAAATTTGCAACACAATTAAAATATTTTGTTTCATCTTCTTCTTCTTCGTCCTTAATTTTTAGTGTTGGGAGGGATCGAGCCTTATCTGCCAGAGGGTTTGAACTCAAGACTTTTTTTCGAATTTATCAACCATGAGCTTTGCCGACTCGACCATGCTTCCATCACAATTAAGGATCACGTGTCAACTGGTTATGCGCCATTGAGGCCATTGACTCCGATTTCAGCCTGCTTTTCTTTTTGGATTTGCTTCCATAGCCTTTGTCCAACCAAGAACAAACAACAAGGCAGCAGTTGTTTGATTTTGGAGTTGTCTCTCCTAGAAGAGTGGCTGTCCCCAGCTAACAAGCCTCATCTGCCTGAGGGTTCGAACTCGAGACTTTTTGGTTTAGCAACCATGAGCTTTACCGACTCGACCACGCCGACCCCTTGTTTCATCTGATATAAATATAAAACTAATTTTTTATCTAAATAAAATCTTTATTTAGTATTTAATTCTTTATGTGAGTTAAAAAGTAGTAATAGACAAAAAGGCTATAGAAAGATAGTCTGCCAACCTTGTGACTGGAGTAAGTTAACTTGGGTTCGGTGTTCATTCTGTACAGACGCTGTATCAATGTCTTTAACTTCTCAATAGACATTGTTCCTGTTTCAAACAATTTTTTATATTTAGTTTGATTTGCTGTCTACACAGTCTACACAGTTTAAAGTAAATTTATTTCAAACAACCAAACCATTTGAGTTACATATGGTAAAATGGAAACATCTATCATAGCATTTTAAAAGTAAATAAATATATCTAACAGTGGGATTAAACTACAGTTGGGTACATAATTATTTGTGGTTTTAAAAGTTAGTGAACTATCTCCAACCTGGAAGCTTCTTGTCTAATGTGCCTTTCTCTGGATGTTGTGGACTAAATATCTTGATTGCTGTGAATAAAAAAAATAATTCAGCTTTGAGACACTGCTGGAAATTCTACTGAACAATAATTATTAGCAGAATATAAATTAAAACAACAGAAAGAATTATACAGAGAAAGAATTATTAGCTAAATATGTCAATTTCTCAAAGAAAAAAAACCAGTCAATTTATTAAGGCTAGTGGTAACAACACTAATACAAAATTAATTTTGACGAAAATGTATGCACACGATTGCTACCACAGTTCTTTCAGTAGGGCTAATGTCATCATTCCTACCTAATAAATTATCTTTGAGGGCAGAAGATTTTTCACATAGCTCAGAATCTTCAGGAGCTCCCCATTCTGAAAATAAAAGCCAATATTCCTTACTTCATAGGTTGGTGCGACAACCCAAGTTTGTGAAAACAAACACTGAATTATTCAGATTAGTTATTAATAAACTAAAATTAGACTTTTGAAATTTGACTATAAATGAATATATTAAAGAAAAGTATGTTCATAGGGTTGCTTAGTAAAGTAAAGTTTCCCTTTCAAACCTGACGGTCTATGGGGCAAGTGAAGTAGAGTTCACTTGTTTCTGTGACCTCGGCATATGAAGAGATAGTGTGGTCAGCACTTTACTTTCCCTAACTTGAGTTAGGTACCCATCAGAGTTGGGTGGACTCAGGGACGGTCTACTGACTTGAACCCCGATTCGAACTAGAGACTAACAGATTAGCAGTCCAGCTCTCTACCGCTAGACCACTCCATAGGGTTACTTACTGTCTGCTATTGCTTGATACCTCGGATGATTAGCAATGAACTGATTGCTGGGGTTATTTTTAGACTTGTCAACACTGCCTCCCTCAGCCTTCCACTCTGTACCAAAACGCTTGAGGTAGTCGATTTCCGCACCCTTTCTTTCTTCAAAGCTAATCTGCAAAGAGTTAACACAACTCTACAGGTCATTTGGTTCGGGTAGCAAACTTTGTTCTAAAAAAATATTTCTTTCATAATAGCAACCATTTTAAAAGTAACTTTACCTAAAAGATTTTCATTTAAATATAAATCAAAGTTATTATTTTAGCTTTATAATTAGTTGGTAAAAATAAAAACTACAGATTTAAGACAACCTCAACAAATAACTAATTTACATTGTTTCCTATGAGAAGGTATCCAAACACCATGTATCTTTATTATTTAAGTAAGCTTATCTCTTCCAATGCAATATGACTACTACAGTAGTTATAATTAAAGCAAAAGAACTAACATTGAAATACAACTTCATATCCTATGAGAAGGTATCCAAACACCATGTATCTTTATTATTTAAGTAAGCTTATTTCTTCCGATGCAAAATATGACTACTACAGTAGATTATAATTAAAGCAAAAGAGCTAACATTGAAATACAACTTCAAGCTAAAACTTACAGGAGTTCGACTAATCAACTTCAGCCCACTAATTTTGGCAATGAGCAGCTGTCGAACAGTCTCATAGGTGAAAGTTTTTAAGATAGGATTCTCGGCAATCTGGATATCTTCAAGGTGTTGAAGTTTGTTAAGCTCATCTATGGAAGACCACTGCAATCAAAATTTTAGTAACCATTTTATTTATTAATATTTTTTTTTCATTATTTTAATATGTTGCTTAAAAGATTATAAAATTTCTGCAATGGAAAAGCGAAAACAATTTCATACATTTTTGAAAAGAGTAAAATATTTTTTAAGCCTGCTAACCTCAAGTATTTCATTCCTTTTTATAATTAAAGCTTTGAGTTGTTTGAAGTGGCTGGTTTTGTCTGTTGGTAAACAACTTGGAAAATAAATAGACTTGATCTGGTTCTCACTAATAATGAGTGTATCCAACCTGGCAATACAAAACAATGAATGTGAACAAAATAATCCTCAGACTTAAATCTTGACTAACACACAAACAATGTTTGCACTAAGTGTGGGTATTTATGTAGATCACTTTTCTGATTTGTAGTATTATCATTATGCATTATAAGGTACATTTTAAGAGCCATTACACATAAGTATAAAACTTTTTTATGCTATGCATTAAATAAGAAAAATTTTCAGACTGATTTGATGCTATTAAAAGCAAACATAGAACAGAAGCTACCACAAACTAACAGTAGCTACCAGATACTAGCAAAATAAACTGGCTAACACAATGAGTACCTACCATAGAACAGGGGCTACCACAGACTAGCAAAGTACTGTGGCTATTGTTGTGAATGGACTTAAGTGTATGGAAAGAGTTTGAGAGGATGTGTGTGAGTGTGGTTGAACGGGGTTAATAAAGTTGTCGATGGTTTGAGAGTAGGTGTGTAGTTGAATGGGGTTAATAAAGTAGTGGATGGTTTGAGAGTATGTGTGTGGTGGTATTAATAAAAGATTATGAATGCGTGAATAAATAAGGATGTGACGTAAGAGAGAATGTTTTGGTTGTTAGGAAGATAGTTGAAGTCAGTCTGCGTCTTGTCGTCGTCATGTAAGGATGTCTAGAAGTCGTCGTTCCGTCTGTCGTCAATGTAGCTGTGTGTATTGATGTAATAAAGTATGGAAATATCGTATCGTCGTTATGTGTTTTCTATTGGATCGTCGTCCTCTATTGTTCGTCACGTTCAGCATCGACCCTGTACACAAACTCACTTTACAACAGCTATCACAGTCAATCCACTACCTACATGGGCAAGTTTCCCAGCTTCAACACCTCTCCCCAGTCGGAGATCTGATTGGTCATCAGGTCCAGTATCCTCAGACCCTTGAGTACATGTGTGGCATCGGACAGGCTGGCTATCTGGTTGAAAGAAACGTGGAGCTCTTCTAGACAAGGAAACATGGAGCAGCAGGTCAAAACCTCCTTCCACGAGAGATTCATCTGGTTCATTGTTGCATTTCTTAACTTTGAAAAATTACACGCTAAAGAGCTCGGGTCTTTAGGAATAATCAGTCTGTTATCACTGAAATTTTTAAAAAAGTAAAGTATTCTGTTATAGGAAATTACTAGCACTGAAGGTGCATTTGTTTCACAAAAGACAACACAAATACCATCCTTCCCACATTATACATTAATGAGAATGTAATAATTAATCTCAAAATATAGCTGCTCTTTTAAATCTTTAAAAGTATTTAAAATGAGCACTGTAAAAAAATACTAATTGAATTATTTTGTTGACATCATACGCAAAAAAATCTTTAGTCAGCGCAAAAGTTGTTAAAAAAAGAATTAATAAAACAATATTGTTGCTCTTAACAAGTACGAATTAAATAAATTTTTTATCATAACAAGCAAAATAGTCTTGAGCTGTGCAAGTTTTTAAAAAGAGCTCCATTACCTACCTAACATTCAATTCCTTAAGAAAAGGCAGATGCCCTGCTATTTCAGCCACATTTTCCCACGATGAAATTAAGTTGGTTGATATATCTAGGTCAGTTATATTTGGACATGTTTTCCCGAGTTCACCTGGTGGGCCTCCAGAGTAAACTTTCATATCAAACATGGAGATCTTCTTCAGTCTGTTGAACTGGCTGGGAAAACATTGAACAAATAACATTACACATACAAAAATGTTTAATTGACAACAGTTTTCTCTGTGTTCCAAACTATGTAGAAATCTTAAAAAAAAAAAAAAGAAACAGCAAAGTTTCGTAACTATAACACCATTACTTTGGCCATAACAAAACTAAGTACTATAACACAACATAAAAACTGCTTTAATTACTCTATAACCAGTATTGTAACTATAACACTATTACTGTAGCTATAACATATCAAGCACTAAAACACACAAACTGCTTTAATTAACCTGTAACCAGTAAAGTATTGTAACAGTAACGCCATTATTGTGGCTTACAACAAATCAAGTACACACAAACTGCTGTAAGGGCAGGTTAAACCCCCAAATTGAAATTTAGGTGTTAGGACTTTTTTGAGTGATAAGGAAGTTGTAACTAACATAGTATATGAAAAAAATGCAAAAAATCAAGTACACACAAACTGCTTTAATTACTCTGTAACCAGTAAAGTATTGTAACAGTAACGCTATTATTGTGGCTTATAACACACCAACTACACACAAACTGCTTTAATAAACCTGTAACCAGTAAAGTATTGTAACTGTAACGCCATTATTGTGGCTATAAGAAACCAACTACACACAAACTGCTTTAATTAACCTGTAACCAGTAAAGTATTGTAACAGTAACGCCATTATTGTGGCTATAACAAACCAACTACACACAAACTGCTTTAAGGGCAGGTTAAACCCCCAAACTGAAATTTAGGTGTTAGGACTTTTTTGAGTGATAAGGAAGTTGTAACTAACATAGTATATGAAAAAAATGCAAAAAATCAAGTACACACAAACTGCTTTAATTACTCTGTAACCAGTAAAGTATTGTAACAGTAACGCTATTATTGTGGCTTATAACACACCAACTACACACAAACTGCTTTAATAAACCTGTAACCAGTAAAGTATTGTAACTGTAACGCCATTATTGTGGCTATAAGAAACCAACTACACACAAACTGCTTTAATTAACCTGTAACCAGTAAAGTATTGTAACAGTAACGCCATTATTGTGGCTTATAACACACCAACTACACACAAAATGCTTTAGTAAACCTTCCAAATGTTTACACTGACCTCTGCTGCTGGTTGATCTTCTTGGCTCCGACCATTTCCACCTTCGTCTGGTTGAGAAACTGGTCCAGCACAAACAGCTCTTCCTTCTTGATGCCAGCTTCATCATCCTTCTTCAGGCCGTACCTCTCGTGCACTGCTTGCACCGCACTTATGCCCCCATTCACTTTGGATGGACGTACAAAAGAACCTGACTTGGGGTGGCTGGGCAGAAAGAAAAAAATGGTTTATGTTTTAATTTTCCTTAGGCCGATCTTGTGGGGTACCAGGGGGAAGCACACACAGAACCTTTTCACTTTTCATCATTTTCGTAGGTGGATCAGGGGGTTGTGTGGGACACAGGGAAAAAGACTACTCTATACATTGGCTACAACAGGCTTCCCACTCTGCAAACTATAAAGCTTGTTTGTTTTCTTTTAATTACTTTAGTTTAATGCAAATGCATAATTCACAGGCAAAACAATTTTATAATTATAATAAATGTTACAGTTACATTAAGAAACCAATGCTTGAACTCACCTAGTATGAAAATATGTTTTTCCTTCATGAGATCCATCATGTTTGCCTCGACTTGGGTCATCCCATTCCACTCCTAGCCAAATACCTACAAAAACAAGGATATGATAAACATTCTACACTTTGATTAATGTGTGCAACTTTGAGAAATTTGTTAAATAAAATTAAAAAAAAAACAAATCAGATAGTAGTTACCTGTAGTTGGTGGGACTGTGCCAATATAGCGAACAAATGCACGATGATTGTCACATACAATCCTGTCCCCTACCTGGATGATTGTGCCATCAGCACGAAGAAGACCTGCTAAAAAATTATTCAGAGATTATGTCAGTGATATATTATACAATCAGAATGCTGTCAGAGTAAACAACAGGATTAAGGCTAGGGTATTGATACATATGATATAGGCCATCCCTAAAAGCTAACTCTTACAGCTTATGTTAATATGTTTGGATGTTGTTACTGTTAGGCAGGGTAAATGACTTTTTTAAATGTACATTTCTTGTTACCCTGTCGGTGTATGTCCTTTTTTCATCTTGAGAATAGCTTATAATCTAAAATTGTATCTAGATTTAATCTTAAGTCTAGATCTAGAGTCTAGTACTAGTGGCAGTCTAGTGTACTATGTAGTATACAGTATATGTACTGATGTGAATCTAGCTAGAGTTCTAGAATTCTAGATCTAGCGGCAGCCAGCTTGACTTGACGACCAGCCGAGGAGCTAGTCGCCATAAATAAAATATTTAAAGATAGAGAGAATCTAATTTCTACCAAAGATAACATTGTCGTCAATAAATTATAGATTTAGTAGTTGGACAATTGCCTAATAACGAAGACATTATTAAAACATTGAAGTAGTAATATGTAAATATGTAGTATTATGTAGAATGAATGAGATGACTCACCAGCATCCTCCATTTTCAAACAACACAGTAAAAATTTATATCGAGTCTTGAAAGAGAACAATTATAAACTGCATATTTATTTTGTATTATTCGATCTAGATCTAGATCTATTTTTAAAATTTTAATATCAGAAAATGTCTAAACTTAACCGTTTTCTAATGCTTATAGCAAATGTATTTAATAAATTAATTCATTGTAATAAACATAATTAATTATAATAATTACATTAGCCAACACGAAAGAGTTCATCTTTTTTAAAAACACCACAAAGGTAAACAAAAACATCAAAGAAGACTAATGTAGAGTAGCCTAGCTCAATATCACACCAAACATTGAACAATGATTTAATATCTGCTCTACATCGACATTTTTATTCAAAGTGATTGTGAAAAGAAAACTAATTATAATTTCCTCTTCAAATGTTCTCTAGACATCTAGATCTATTTAAAATCTTTCAACTTAAATCTGAGATCATATTTTAATTTTATAGAATATAGAACTCAGAAGTTTTTAAAAAGCTTGTAGACTAGGCCTAGATTCTTACTTGTGAAGTAAGCTGTGAGCAGTAGATCTTCTAGTTTCAAGTAGAAGTAGTCAGTAGGCCTACTTCACTTGGCTACTTCTACTACTCAGTTTTCAGTTTCATGATTTTAGTTAGTGAGTTGATTTAGCCTAAATTGCCTAAAAGACTCTAGAATCTAGATCTAAAATTAAATTATCTTACTTCTTACTAGTAAGTTCGACTTCCGCTGTTTCGATTCGGTACGACCACATCCTGACTTTTTCATCGTACTTGTTGAAATTCGCCATTTTTTAACATGTTAATTCTCGCCATCGGAATCGAAGAATAAAATGTATTCGATATGAATATTTGAGTTGAATTTAATCTTTTATACATACTAATAAATGAATTAGCTCCCGTTTTACATTGTCCGATACCGAAAGCAATCACCGATAATAGCAAATATTTGTCGAAATGCCGACGCTACCGAACTGGCGCATTGACAACTAAATTTCAGATATAAATAATCCTCTAAATTGTATGAAAATAGGCTTAAATAGCATGCCAACCATTTGGATAAATAGAAATGTCGATATGAAGGGTTATTAAGCATGGGCCAATAAGGAGTAGCGCGATAAAACTCGTAGGGGTAGGAACGAGAAAGCGTGCGTAATTTCATAATGGCGGCCGGGTTACGAGATATTAATAGATAAGCGCATACGATGTTTTTAATAGCTGTTTGTTTTTAAATGGACAGTTACAATACAATGGGCTTTAAAATAAATATACTGTAGATCTAAATTTTTAAATTAAAAATGGAAAGAATGTAATTAGGCCTAATTGCTGCCTAAATAAATTATAAAATTTTAAATTAGCCAGATTTTTATTAACCTTCTTAATACGATATACCAGGTTAACTAGATCTAGCAAACTAGCATTAACGAATTGCAGATAAATAGATTATAAAGGCATTTTCAAGTAGAAATAAATCTAAATTTATTGTAAACAGTTTTAAAAAAATAGGATCCAGATCTAAATGGAAATGAAAACACTAAAATAATATTGGGTCTAGAGATGTGTAATATATATATATATATATATATATATATATATATATATATATATATATATATATATATATATATATATATATATATATATATAAACTATTAGGCCTTAATGTAAATACTGACAGGCCTATCTAGATCTATAAAGGGCCTAAATTAAAAATAATAAAGCCCAATTTTATAAGCTGCACTGCATTACAGTTTTAGTAATAGGCAACTATAATAGAAAGAAAACATGAACACTTTAATTAATGTCATTTAAGAATTTATCAAAGGATACGTCAGCTTTACTAAACATTTTATAAATAAGAATACTGTGAAATGTCAATCTTTGAGTTTTAGCATATCTCAACACTTTTCATCAGAAACATTACAAGAACCAAAGTCTTCTAAATTAATAATAACATTTTTACCATGTTATACACGGACACAAATCCAATGTTTATGGCAAATCGTTAAGTATCTTGATCATATTGTGCTGTATTTGACTTGTAAGTTTTAACTCTATACATTACCTGTACAATATGTATACTAGCATTCTTATAACTAACACCAGAATCAATATGTAAAGTTTATCTTTATTTTTATAGTAGCAACAAAGAAGTGCAATATATTAGCCTGTAGTTAATCATCATAGTCTAATTGCGCTGTACCATATTCAAGTTCACAATTTATAGTTTTCCTCTAGCTATGTTTATTTTACTTGCATGTTTGTATTTTTTACATTCTCTAGTCCTAATATATAAAGTTTCATGATGGTATATGGAATAGCAACCTAGCTGTGCAGTCTGGAAATCCTCTTATAGCAGTCACTATACAGTGCCACACCCCTTAATTTGACTTCATTATTTCTAGTTACCTCTTTTCTAATTTTTATTTTATGTGTAGACTTCTATTGCCTATATCATTGAGTACAAATGTGCAAAGTTTTATCATTATATCTTTAATAGCAACATTGGTATGCAAGTTTAAAGCCAATCACACGTCTCGAATGCAGTTTACAATGAAACATAACAAGTTAAACACATAACTTTGAAAATTCATTAAAAAAAAACTATTAGGCCTAGAATGATAAATTTGATATTTTTATCAATGGGGTATATTATAGGATTAATCTGGGTCCATTTTATCATTCTATGATAATTAGGGAAAATTTCCCAATAGACCTACTTCTTACTCAGTTCAGTAAAGCTACTGAATGACAGGTCTGATTACACTGGACAACATCATTGACAATATTATTATTAAATTTAATCGCCTAACTATTCCAATTACTTTCAATCTTTACCATAGTTCTAACATGACAAAACCTTCCAATGGGAGATTTAAATTTATTTCTCAACTTTCTGAGCCTATTTTAATGTTTTTTAAGCAAACAGATCTGGTAGCATGAGAAATGCCATCGCTGGCCAAAATTTTGATGATGTTTTTACAATTTGTGAGGGAAAGAAAAATCCTTGAAGGTAGAAACGTGGTGATAGTGAGTGCTGTATTCAGTGCCGTATTTCTGCATTTCTATAAAGTACACGTTGAAAACTCGCATGTATCAGAATGGCTAGAAAGGAATCAACTCAGCAGTATAGCAGATGTTCTCTCCCAAGCAGGTAAGGTAGCAAAGCATCTTTAGACCTGTTTCTCTGCTAGTTTATGGTTAGATTTAAACTGCTTTTTGTTTGTTTGTTGTTGTTTTTTTTGGGAGGGGGGAGGGGGGGAGCACTGAATTAGTGAATACTAAAACACGCTGTAAAAACTAGTTACGTTTTAATGGAAATTTCCGGTTAAGCCCAACAAAAAATATACTTTAATACTTAGACTACTATAACCATGGGACGGCATGGCTTAGCGGTAGAGTGCTAAACTGCTTATCCAAATGTCTCAAGTTTGAATCCATGCTCAAGTCAGTAGAGCTTCACTGTCCAATCAGCTCTTGTTAGGGAAAGTAAAGTGAAAGTAAAGGCAACTGGTCTTAGTGGTGAACACACTATCCGTTCATATGTCGATATCACAGAAACAGGTGAACTATACTTCACTTGCCAATGGACCACCAGGTTCAAAAAGGGAACTTTATTTTTTACTTTTACTATCACTAGTAATACTGCTTTACTTTCACCCTTAGTAGGACGCAGTGCAGGCCACATAATCTCTTTATATGAGCTAAGATACTTCACCTGCTCAATGGATTATTTGGTCTGAAATTGTACTTCAACCCTAGCACTAAACCTATGATCAAAGTGAAAATAAACGCATTTCTCCTTCTAACCCATTTATCTGGCATTACAAAATTGTGCCATGCTAATGTTTTGCAAGCCTGTAGTTTTACCCAACAGTATCATTTAGATGTTCACAAAATCATCTTATGAAAATTGGGGTACATCAAAGTGTACTTATGGACTCTTCAGAAAAATTGGGTCTAATGTTGTTGATTATTTGTAACAAACAACAAATTAGCAATACATTCTCATCTCAATAAAAAACCTAGCTGTAACTATAACATTTGTAACTATAACATTAAAACTTTGATATATATTTTTATTACAAACAACACATTCCCTTTTATTAGAACAGTTTAGTTTAAAACTTATTGGAAAAAAATCATCTGAAAGATGTATTCTGCTTAAAATATTTTGTCCTGTCATTTAAAAGTGAAGTTAGCCTTTCGGACCTGACAGTCAGTGGATAAGGTGAGGTAGAGTTAACTTTTTGTGTGTGATGATATAGCATGGTCTTTGACATTCCCAGCTGCTTTTACTTTCCCTAGAGTCAGCTAGCCTTCATAGTTGAGTGAACTCAGGGACGTCTTACGGATTCGACTCCAGAATTCTAAAGAGTTTTGAGTTTGCAGTCCTATACTGTTCTGTCTTATGTTACTTAACAACCTGATCTAAACCTACAGGTTCAAAGCTCTACCTCTTGTTGGGTTTATTATTATCCCTCTTTCTAACCTAATCAGCAATTTTACTGTTTAAATTGATTAAGTTAATTTATTTTAACAGAGTAAATATAAAGAAATATTAATGCCTATCACCAAAAAGTGTGTCATGCTCATTGTTTATATTGATGCTCAAATTTTTATAATATTTATTGATAGGTGGCTCATCATTAGCTGAAGTATACAGGCTTGACGAGACCCTGGATGAGAATTCAGAGTTTTATCTCTCTCTAAACAAGGAGCAGCGCCACCTGTTGGAACTCACTCTCAGTCGACTGCGAGACGAGACGGAGATGGAAATGTGGCTCAGAAGGAACAACATAGAGAACTATTCAGAGATGTGAGTCTTGTTTTTTTTATCTCTGAGCAAATTAGTTTAATATTTTCAGACTTGCTGAATGCTTTCATAAAAGATGTAGTTATCTACTTTCTTGATTCGATGTAATCACTTCTGTAATTAGAGACAACAACGTAGAAAATCATTCGGGAATGTGAGTCTTGTGTTTTTATCTCTGAGTAAATTAGTTTTACTGATATTTTAGACTATTGCTGAAAGCCTTCATAAAAGTTGTAGTTTTCTGCTTTCTTGATTCTATATAATCAGTTCTGTAATCAGAAAGTTATTCTCAGATACGAGGCTGTTTGTTCTTTATCTCTTGCTTGTCGAATTACAGTTGTATAGATACTCTTAGCCTTATACTAACACCACATTAGCACTTGCACCATGTATACTACTATACACGTCTACAAAAAAAACTTCGCTATAAGTTAATTTTATCAGAACATGTATATGGGGGGAGGGGGGGCTACTCACTAATTGAGAAGCATACATGTTGCAAGTGTAATGATGAAATTCTTGATCAAAGTTACAGTATTATTCTTTCAATGTAATCTGTTTTGTAATCAGAAAGCAAAACCAGTAGCGTATCGAGGGGGGACGGGCTGGGGGGGGGGGGGACATGTCCCCGGGCGCCGACCTTAGGGGGCGCCAAAATGGGTTTGGAAATTAAATTGAAAGGTTGAGGGGGTGCAAATCGAAAGTATGATGGGGGGGTGCAAATGAAAATCTCGAGGGGGGGTGCAAATCGAAATCTCGAGGGGGTAGGGTGCAAATCATAAAGTTTGTCCCCGGGCGCCGGGAAGGGTCGCTACGCCTCTGAGCAAAACCATAGAAAATTACTCCTCTCACTTTAAACCCAGAATCCTATCAACTCTGCTCAGTGTTTTTACTATACAGATGTGGTTTCTATAAGCTGTATCCTACGGTTCGTAATGGCAAAATGCTCAACTAAAATTTGAACTCAAACAATTTGATACTTAGACACTGAAGGCAGAGAGTTTCAAATCTAATTTTTGTCTAGCTTTTGATCTGGCCTTAATCCTAGTTTTGTTTTTAATCCTGACAGCTGTGCTAGTTTAAGCCCACTCAACAATACTGACAGCTAAGGCTTCTCTAATTAAACCCACACAATAATACTGACAGTCAAGGCAACTCTAATTAAACCCACACAATAATACAGGCAGATAAGGCACCTCTAATTAAACCCACACAATAATACAGGCAGATAAGGCACCTCTAATTAAACCCACACAATAATACTGACAGATAAGGCACCTCTAATTAAACCCACACAACAATACTGACAGATAAGGCACTTCTAATTAAACCCACACAACAATACTGACAGATAAGGCCCCTCTAATTAAACCCACACAACAATACTGACAGATAAGGCCCCTCTAATTAAACCCACACAACAATACTGACATTCAAGGCAACTCTAATTAAACCCACACAATGATACTGACAGCCCGAGTCGGTAAAGCTCATGGTTGCTAAACCAAAAAGTCTCGAGTTCGAACCCTCGGGCAGATGAGGCTCGTTAGCAGGGGACAGCATCTCTTCTAGGAGAGACAACTCCAAAATCAAACAACTGCTGCCTTGTAGTTTGTTCTTGATTGAACAAAGGCTATGGAAGCAAATCCAAAAAGAAAAGCAGGCTGAAATTGGAGTCAATGGCCTCATGGCGCATAACCAGTTGACACGCATCCTTAATTGTGATGGAGGCGTGGTCGAGTCGGCAAAGCTCATGGTTGATAAATTCGAAAAAAAGTCTCAAGTTCAGCCGTCTGGCAGATAAGGCTCGATCCCTTCCAACACTAAAAATTAAGAACGAAGAAGAAGAAGAAGATACTGACAGCTAAGGCACCTCTGATGAAACCCACACAATAATACTGACAGATATTGTATTTCTAATGAAACCCACTCAATAATACTGACAGATAAGGTCCCTCTATATAAACCCACTCAATAATACTGACAGATAAGGTCCCTCTATATAAACCCACACAATAATACAGGCAGATAAGGCACCTCTAATTAAACCCACACAATAATACAGGCAGATAAGGCACCTCTAATTAAACCCACACAATAATACTGACAGATAAGGTCCCTCTATATAAACCCACACAATAATACAGGCAGATAAGGCACCTCTAATTAAACCCACACAATAATACAGGCAGATAAGGCACCTCTAATTAAACCCACACAATAATACAGGCAGATAAGGCACCTCTAATTAAACCCACACAATAATACAGGCAGATAAGGCACCTCTAATTAAACCCACACAATAATACAGGCAGATAAGGCACCTCTAATTAAACCCACACAATAATACTGACAGATAAGGTCCCTCTATATAAACCCACACAATAATACAGGCAGATAAGGCACCTCTAATTAAACCCACACAATAATACAGGCAGATAAGGTCCCTCTATATAAACCCACACAACAATACAGGCAGATAAGGCACCTCTAATTAAACCCACACAATAATACAGGCAGATAAGGCACCTCTAATTAAACCCACACAATAATACAGGCAGATAAGGCACCTCTAATTAAACCCACACAACAATACAGGCAGATAAGGCACCTCTAATTAAACCCACACAATAATACAGGCAGATAAGGCACCTCTAATTAAACCCACACAATAATACAGGCAGATAAGGCACCTCTAATTAAACCCACACAATAATACAGGCAGATAAGGCACCTCTAATTAAACCCACACAATAATACAGGCAGATAAGGCACCTCTAATTAAACCCACACAATAATACAGGCAGATAAGGCACCTCTAATTAAACCCACACAATAATACAGGCAGATAAGGCACCTCTAATTAAACCCACACAATAATACAGGCAGATAAGGCACCTCTAATTAAACCCACACAATAATACAGGCAGATAAGGCACCTCTAATTAAACCCACACAATAATACAGGCAGATAAGGCACCTCTAATTAAACCCACACAATAATACAGGCAGATAAGGCACCTCTAATTAAACCCACACAATAATACAGGCAGATAAGGCACCTCTAATTAAACCCACACAATAATACAGGCAGATAAGGCACCTCTAATTAAACCCACACAATAATACAGGCAGATAAGGCACCTCTAATTAAACCCACACAATAATACAGGCAGATAAGGCACCTCTAATTAAACCCACACAATAATACAGGCAGATAAGGCACCTCTAATTAAACCCACACAATAATACAGGCAGATAAGGCACCTCTAATTAAACCCACACAATAATACAGGCAGATAAGGCACCTCTAATTAACCCACACAATAATACAGGCAGATAAGGCCCCTCTAATTAAACCCACACAATAATACTGACAGCTCGGGTCGGCGTGGTCGAGTCGGTAAAGCTCATGGTTGCTAAACCAAAAAGTCTCGAGTTTGAACCCTCGGGCAGATGAGGCTCGTTAGCTGGGGACAGCATCTCTCCTAGGAGAGACAACTCCAAAATCAAACAACTGCTGCCTTGTAGTTTGTTCTTGATTGAACAAAGGCTATGGAAGCAGATCCAAAAAGAAAAGCAGGCTGAAATCGGAGTCAATGGCCTCAATGGTGCATAACCAGTTGACACGCAGCCTTAATTGTGATGGAGGCATGGTCGAGTCGGCAAAGCTCATGGTTGATAAATTCGAAAAAGTCTCAAGTTCAGCCGTCTGGCAGATAAGGCTCGATCCCTTCCAACACTAAAAAATTAAGAACGAAGAAGAAGAAGAAGATACTGACAGCTAAGGCACCTCTGATGAAACCCACACAATAATACTGACAGATAAGGCACCTCTAATTAAACCTACACAATAATACTGACAGCTAAGGCACTTCTAATTAAACCTACACAATAATACTGACAGATATTGTATTTCTAATTAAACCCACACAATAATACTGACAGATAAGGCACTTCTAATTAAAACCACACAATAATACTGACAGATAAGGCAACTCTAATTAAACCTACACAATAATACTGACAGATAAGGCACTTCTAATTAAACCCAAACCATAATACTGACAGATATTGTACCTCTAATTAAACCCACACAATAATACTGACAGATAAGGAACTTCTAATTAAACTCACACAATAATACTGACAGATATTGTACCTCTAATTAAACCAGAGTTTCTTCCAGGCATCTCTTCGAGGCATGCCCCCCCCCCCCCAAAGAAAGTCCACCCCCCACCCAGAGAAAAAAAT